TAAATACTACATTTTTTTTTGAATATTCGATCCGCGCCCAGACCTACTTGTATTGATCTCAAATGGGTCATTGTAAGGATTCTTTGAAACATTTGCCTTCTTTTTACTCTTCCAATTTATGTTGAACAAAAAACTAGCAAAACAGAATTTTAGTACTACTAGTCAAACTATCAACAATAGACAAAAAGATCTTATCAACTTTTGTCTTGTTCTTCCAACTACAGAAACTAAATCTTTCATCTTAATTACAACCACAAAAACTTTAAAAAACGCCTTAATACTGTTTCTATTTTATCCCCCCCAAAAAAAAGTGTCTATCCGTGGGGCCAGCTAAATGTAAGCGGTGTGTGTTGGCTTGGCTTCTATGATTTTTGAAATTGTAAAGATGAGAAAAATAAATAGAAGGCAATATCATTTTCATTTTCTCCATAATCCTAAAGAAAAAAGAAAAAAATGGCAATCTCTTTACTCTGTCTTTTACTCATCACCTTCGTTTCGTTAATCTTTGTCGCCAAGAAGATCAAACGCTCTAAATGGAATCTTCCTCCAAGCCCTCCTACGTTTCCGGTCATCGGAAACTTGCACCAGATCGGAAAATTGCCACACAGATCACTTCAACATCTAGCCGAAAGAACCGGACATGTTATGCTTCTTTACTTTGGTTCTGTCCCTGTAACTGTAATCTCATCGAAAGAAGCAGCTGAAGAAGTGCTTAAAACTCATGACCTGGACTGTTGTAGCAGGCCTAAGCTTTATGGATCAAGGCTTATCTCTCGGGGTTTTAAAGATATCGGTTTTACGCCATACGGTGAAGAGTACAAAGAGCGACGTAAGTTCTTGGTGCGTGAGCTTTTCGCTTTGAAAAAGGTTCAGTCTTTCAGATATATTAGAGAGGAAGAATGTAACTTTATGGTCAAGAAACTGTCGGAATCTGCTGCGGATCAATCTCCAGTAGATTTGAGCAAAACCCTTTTCTCGCTACCTGCGAGTATCGTATTTAGAGTTGCTTTTGGACAAAGTTTCCATGAGAGCAAGTTTATTGATAAAGACAAGGTCGATGAGCTTGTGTTTGAAACCGAGACAGCTCAAGCTAGCTTCCTTTGCTCTGATTTCTTCCCCTTTGCCGGACTTGGATGGCTCGTTGATCGGCTTTCCGGGCAACACAAAAGGCTCAACGATGTTTTCTTGAAGCTTGATGCTCTGTTTCAAAGTGTGATCGATGATCATTTGAATACTGGAAGATCGAAAGAGCAAAGAGATATCGTTGATATAATGTTAGACGTAATGCATAAACAAGGCAAAAATGATTCCTTGAAGCTTTCAATAAATCATATCAAAGGATTTCTCACGGTAGGAGACAAAAATCAAGACTTGTTTAAACATATTTGTATTGGAACTGAACTCAGATTGATTTTACTTTTAGTTTCTTTGGTGTTTTGCTAGAATATATTTATCGCAGGGATAGACACAGGAGCTATTACAATGATATGGGCGATGACGGAACTCGCTAGAAACTCGAAACTGATGAAGAAAGTTCAAGGCGAGATCCGAGACGGCCTTGGCAACAATAAGGAGAGAATCACCGAAGAAGATATCGATAAAGTTCCTTACTTGAACCTCGTGATCAAGGAAACATTCAGATTACACCCTGCAGTTCCTCTTCTACTCCCAAGGGAAACAATGGCTCACATCAAGGTTCAAGGCTATGATATTCCTCGCAAGAGACGGATCTTGGTTAACGTTTGGGCGATAGGAAGAGATCCTAAACTCTGGACAAACCCGGAAGAGTTTAACCCCGATAGGTTTATCGATAATCCTTTGGATTACAGAGGACAACATTTTGAGCTCTTACCATTTGGGTCTGGTCGAAGGATATGTCCCGGGATGGCGATGGGGATGGCTACTGTTGAATTGGGACTCTTGAACTTACTTTACTTCTTCGACTGGAAGTTGCCTGATGGGATGACACATAATGATATCGATACAGAAGAAGCTGGTACTCTTACAATCGTCAAGAAAGTACCTCTCAGGCTCGTCCCAGTTCGAGTTTACTGATGTATACAAACATTGGTACGTACGAGTAGTTAAGTTTATAATTTAAAATACGGATGTGTGTGGATTGTATTGTATTATGTAGAATTCAGTGACAAATATCTTTGTGTTATTAATATTTAACAGTAAGTTTTGATTACACATTAGCAGCCAACAAGACAAATCAGGCTCTGCTTTAAATACAAGTTAAGTCATCAACCTCTGCTCTGATTTTTCCTTTTGACTTCTTCTTTGTACTCTTCACATGTGCCTTGGAAGAAGAAAGTCACTGCTCCGTCTTGTACAACCCTAACTTCACTCTTATCCTCTTCCTCACAGACACGAGATACGAGTCTCGAGTCATTACTCATCAACACAACTCCTCCTTTGAACCCACCTAGTGCATCAGCCTACGCATCTATAGTCTCCATGTCCAAGGGATTTGTTGGCTCGTCAAGAACCAAAATGTGTGGCTTCAACATTGAGATCGAGGCTACTAAGGAGCACAATGTAGCTGCCTCAATAATCTCAGGGCCAAGATTAAACCAGATGACTTTAAGCCACCAGAGAAAGAAGTCTATGTTGCTCGTATTCCATCTCTATTCGTCCTACGGAACGTACGAAATACCTCATCAGGGACATTGTTCTACGCACAAGCAGTAATCACAGCGTTCCAAGACCCACCATCTCGTTCAGGCATTTGCTCGAACAGTTCACGCGCATCATTAACACAACCACATTTCCCATAAGCTTCCTTCAATGGCTCTGTTCAAGAGGAAAATCGGAGGCAACGGAGAGAAAGTTACCAAGTGGGATTCGACTTTACGCAACTGGCTCTGGAAAACAATAAGGGATTTCGAGGAACAAGAACGGAAAAGTCGCTCGTATAGCTAATACGCAACTGGCTCTGGAGAAACAAAGAGGACAGAGACGGCTTTCGAGATGTTACCGCCTTGGAGGTGCTCGAGAATTTGGTGGGTCACTGAGATTTTGGGTTGGGTACGGAGAGCGCGCTTGTGGGTTTTGTCGTGTCTGAAAAGACGGCCAAAGATTGAAGAAATTCCGGTCACTAACGGAATTTGTGTTTTAGGTCACTGTAAGACTGAACAGTAATTTTCAAAAAAAAAAAAAAAGATTGAACAGTATAAACTCCAAACTGAAGTGACCGGAGCGGTAAATAAGAAGAAGTGACCGGAGCTCCGAAGGCTAAGTAGTCGGTAGTAAAGGAAGAGCAGAGAGAATCTGAAATCGACCCCAAAATGTTAATTGGCCTCTTGTTACGGTTTAACCTAATTTGTTTTTAAATATGATCTAATTAATCCCGAGTGGTGCAAGTCCATATCTTTTGGTGGGTTTCCCTTTTGATTGCAAGTCTAGACCATTCTTTTCTTTTCCAAAACATATAATCATCATAAATATTTTGGTATGGAAAAGTTTTCCTTTATAAATTCAATCACACATTTTAACTTTACGTTTACATAAATCTTAATCATAAGCAAAGAGAACAAGTTTTGAGGGACAAATACCAAAAGATATTCAGTTTTAGCACTACTTTGTGAAAGTGGTAGATTCTATTATCCTTGTCTCTCAACTCCCAAGTTTGAACACTCTACTAAACTATTTCACATTATGCCAATTGATTTCTAGTTGTTTGTATGCTTCTCATTTGTTCGAAGACGAGACAGAGATTACAAGTTATATCATCGTTAAGGGATTGGACTTGTCACATATTAACATGCTTAAGGTTGATACTAGTTTGGTTTAGCTACTTACTTGTCCATAATGCTGAGAAATTGTTTCCTCGCATCCTGAGCACGCCATAACGATCGTGACTGAATAAAGTTTTCGAAACACCATGGACCTGAGAAGTTCTTCGCCTTCCATGCTTCATATACAGCTAGGAATGTCAAGTGGTCTGCTTGAGCTTGCTTCTCCCTCGGTCTATAGAATATGTGACTCGTCTGGATCATGGCAATCATTGTTAATATCTCATTGCTGCACCCGAGATCCACACTTGCTAGTAACATTTTAGGGAGTGGTGTTTCAATATGAATCTCCACCATTTTTCAACCTAACTTCGTCAACAATCCTTCCTTATCCAAAGCTCCCAACCTGTACAACTGTTCCATTGCAGATATTAGTGCTTGTGGTTGGGGTGGATCCATGAAGTCAAACGATAAAAGGTCGTTAATGCCCATTGCTTTCATGGTTAGGGTTGTCATTCCAAAATTAATTCTTTGGATTTCAGGGATTGATGTAGGAGGCATCTCATTACAGCATGGTCAATTCAAATTAGGCTAAGGAAAATAACATATGATAATGTCTGTATTATTTATAATAAAACTTTTGACAGTGTAAACGACAAAAATATACATCCCTTGTGGTAAGCTCTCTGCTTTATAGCAAAACTAAGTCTTCAATTACAAACAATTTCAAACACATCAACCACTTATTTCTCGCTACATGAAGATTTGTTTAGTTCAAGACAGAGTAATAAAGGTAAACCATGTAGCTCTTTTACACTTCTCTTCATTATGCCTTCAGCTCCGACTTTGCACCTAGGAGACCAACTTGTGCATCAACTGTAAAGTGCATTGCAAGAAATGTTTCAAAAACCTCAATAGTAGAAACAAAATCTCTCATCTTCCTTAGCGCATCGCCTTGTTTCGTGAGAACATTTGCCAGCAGCTTTAAGTCCGAAAAGGTCCTTACCCTTTTCAAAAGCTCTCTTACAAACCGTCACACATGCATAGTACTGCATCAAATGCACATGATTCATTATACATATGAAGATGGGAAACAAAAAGGGTTCAATATACCGATTAAGTAACTACATTTTCCATTGTAAAATAAAGAGTTGCACAGTTTAACAGTTTGGAGACGTCCTGTATTTTGAACCCTTTTTGTTTAGCAAGCTTATTACCCCTTTCCAATACCTTGTCACATACCTCGACGCATTCATTGTACTTCATCAAATATCATGTAAATTAGTCTACCCTATCGACAAAGATGGGAAAAAGAGAGCAATATAAAACAAAAATTGTACATTTTCCATGGTGAGATAAAGAAACGTGTTGAGAATAAGTTTTTATTTCAATTAAACCCAAGCGCAAGAAAAGCTTTATTGGTAAGGAGATTGGACAACAACGAATGAAGTTACCAAAATATTAACATTCGATCTTCACAATGAGTTGTTTGATGTGATTTATGAGGTTCCATTCACTGTTTGGCATAATAATAACATCGTCTTATGCAATCTGCACACGCGCTTGTGCGCATTAGTTATGAATAGTAAGGCCAATACATATGGTTGCTTCATGAAGATGAAAAGAAGTGTGATGTGATTCCATCCGGCAACCGTGAGGTTAGGAGCGAGGCACTCGATATGGAGCTACCGCAAGGGCCGGTGACACGCGCAAAGGCGAGGATGCTTACGGAAGCGATCGAAGGGATGTTCGAGGCGGCACGAGGAGACAACGNGGACAAGGAGGATCGGGTCNTGACACTTGTTCNAGCCGATCAACAAGATCAAGAAAGTGCCTAAGTGACAAAGCACCT